GGTTATGATACTTGGGCCCGGCTGGCCACTTGGATCATGCTCACCCTTTCTACTTGCTGAGGCAAAAATGTTCAAAATATGGCTGATAATCGAGCCAAGTACTCGAGTTCAGCTCAGGTTAAACTCATTTAAGCTCAACTCGATTTCTAAATGAGACGAACTTGAATAATTGACAAGCTTAGCTTGAACTCGATAGACTCAGCTCTTGTGTAAATACTCGAGTTTCAGTTTGGATTCAACTTATTTAGGCTCGCTCGTTTAAAAAAATAAGTTCGATAAACTCGACTCAAGCTCGTTCGGACTTGTTCGATTATCCGCCCTAACCTAAAGTCCCACAAAAGACTAAATTCACCAAAATCATTTTTCTAACCCTTTTCATAAGTACAGTGAGCCGGGTTGGGTCGATTTGTTTTTTTTTTAATTAAAAAAAAAGTTATTCAAGTCATTATGATCCATCTAAGTCATGCACAATATTGGTAAATTGTCAAATTTGCGCTAATCCATTTATTTTTTGAATTTAATAGTACTAAACTCATAATCATTACTTTCGGGAGCGGTCTAAGACTATTTGAGGGTTAAAATGACTACTACAAAAGAGGTTTTTTATTTTTAATATTAATAAATAAAAATAATTTTTTTAGATTAAAAATAGTCTAATCTTTATTATGGTAATCGATCTTAGGGAAAATTTTATCAATTTTAATTTTTAAACAATCATAATTTACTGATTTTAATTTTTATAGTTTAATATAAAAAATATTTTTGTTTATTTTTCGTAATAGAAATAAAAAAAGAATTCATAACAAAAAAAAAAATTGTATTTACTAGAGAGTGAGTGAGAGGGAGGGTCTTAGTGTAGTAGAGGGAGACAAAATGACTACAAATGAATGGTTTATTTTGGTTAACTAGTTAAAATTATTTTTTTAACTCTTAGCTTTTTCTTTTCTTTACTTGTTTTCTAAAAAATTATTTTAGTATATTTTTAATATTATAGGTCTGGTACATGAGCCCAAACTACTCAAATTTATTTTTGATTGAATTTAAATTTTCATAAGACTTTTTTTAAGGCCTAAAATCTTATGGATTTAAAAATTTTAATTTGGACCAACTGCGCACTTAAAAAATGGATTTTCTTGAAATATAGGACCTAAAGCCCAAACTTTGTTAGCTTTGTAATAAAACCGGCCCTGATTACTTCGTATCAAATTTATATTTGATTGGAGAATCGTGTCATGAATTACTAGACTAACTATGCACTTAAAAAATGTATTTTCTTGAAATATGGGGCCTAAAGCCCAAACTTTGTTAACCTTGTAAAAAAACCGCCCTAATTCCTTCGTGTCAAATTTATATATGATTGGAGAATGGTGTCATGAATTATTAGTCTTACATATCCTCTATTTAATTTGTACCACTCTAGTTATGTGTAACTTGTATCAAACCAAGAGAGTATCATAATCCAAAAGGAGGGTGAAATTGGAGGGTGAATCTGCGAATTGATGCTCTCTGAATCTTATTGTGCTATCCCTTCACACAATCATTAGCTTACATACCATATATGAAGAGAATTTTTTTAAGATAAAAAGTGATCAACATGATTCAATTGCCTACCATCTATGGCTCATTGGTTCAGTTTGCTTCCCATCTCTCTCATTCAATTCTTCTTCTGCTTTAATCTCTACACATGTAACAAGTAGAAGCTCACAATTCATCTTCACACACTATGTAAGGGGTACTAGGCCACCAAATACCATCATTCCATTCCTCCACAGCAAAAGAAAAAGAAAATTAATCTTCCATAACCCAACCCGGGATCAGTTACCAAATCACTTTAGTGTCTATCGTTTGACTTAAAATGTAATATCTTACTATTATTTTAATTATTAGACCTTGAGAGGATTTTCTCCATATGTTAAAAAAAATTGAATATAAATTTTAAATAATAATTTTGCATCTCAAATAAAAATAACTTTTACATCAAATTTATTTTCATATTTAAATGACTAAATAAATATTTTAGATATTATCTTAATAATAATTAGAAGGGCTCATCTAAGAATTTTTCCTAGGATCTCAGAAAGGCTTGACACGCACCTATTGGACTTACAAATTTCGTCAGCTACAACTCATTATCAATGAAATAACAATAATAAATTCAAATAGTTAATTGAATTAACAAATTAAATTGAAATGATATTACTCGGTAAAGATCAATAAATTAAATCAATTTGTATCGTTTTGGTTGTATAAGAAACAGACACGTTTTAAAAATAATTTATAAATATTTTAAAAATATAATGAAAATAGATTTAAAAAAATTATTTTTAAAACATGAGTCTAAAATACTTCAAAATATAAGTAAAAATATTTTAAAATATTTTAAAGTATTAAAATTTTAAATTAATTACCGATTCGTTTTAATTAATTTAAAAAGTCAAAGGTGTTGACCATTGAGAGATTTTTTGATTCTTTGATTGCAAAATGCCAACACAAACGGGTCCGCGGATAAGGAAGAATCCCCAACAATCTTTTGCATCTAAACCCCATTAATTGCCCTACGAACAAACAACTACGTAAAATATAAAGCGTGAAGTTGACCCCACACAGGTCCCATTCACAGCCGTCTGATTCCCCCATTAGCAATTTCAGCCGTCAATTCATCCTCCACTTTTACGTCAACCTTTTTCACGTGAAAATCATCGATTCCCATTTCTCATTCCCTCGGTTTTTCCCACCCCCGGAATCCAAATTTCAATTAAATATAGTTTTTTTTTTAATTTAAATACTTCAAGATGTCCTTTATGCCCACTATCCATACTCTCTCGATTTTGATCTAACATAAACTCGCTCTCGTTTAATGCCAGGATGAATGACTGTTTGTACCTTAAAAGATTTTCAAAATTTCAAATTGTACCTCAGAAGATTAAAATTGAAACATTACATCATCAAAAACAAATACTCGTTGCTTTTTTGTAATTTTTTTTGTTATATTTGTCATATTAATTTACTAATGATAATCTTGTGACTAAAGACACTGCACAATACTAAAGATCGAACATTGATTTTAAACTATTTATATTTTAAATAATAACTTAATTTTTTTAATTATAAAATTCAAATTTAAATGAAGAGAGAGAAAAATTAGATAGGTGTGGATTGTTGCAATTTTTTGATATTTTGAAGTATTGTCTCACATTGAAAGATATAAAGAGAATGTGATATTTTTTAGCAAGAAAAAAAGTTTTGAAATATATTTTTTACCATTTGGATCAAAATGGTTGAAGATTAAATCAATGTTAACCGTTTGCGTTTTTAATAAACTAAGAATTAAACTTCCTAACTCTTAGAGGATGTCAAAGGTGTCGAGTTAAGCAGATTTGTGTCTGGTCTAATCAAATTCATGTGAAAATTTATTTAACTCGTGCATGATTCATTTTATTAAACGAGTTTAAATCTACAAACCAAACACGATTCGTCTATTAAAAGGATTACCTGACACGATTCGTTTAACCTATTTAATAATTTTTTTATTATTATAATAAAAATTAATTATTAAACCTTTTTTTTTTTTTTTTTTGGGGATGGGGATGAGGTGAGAGGGCTTGAACCCTTGATCTTAAAAAGACAAGACTTTTACAAGATAAGAAATATCATTGGACCAAAAGCCCGTTGATTAAATTTTTTTAATTGATCTAATTATTAAATTGCATATATTATTATAACTAATTTTTTTGAATAATAATTAATTTTATTTAAATGGATAAATTGGTGAAAAACATTTCACCCAAACACACACTCGTTTAATAAACGGATCTAGAGGGTGCACTTATCATCTACATTTGTTAAAGTCTCACTAAAACCCGCTTAAATTTTGTATCAATTTATGTCGATTAATAATGTCGCATTGTATTTTAACAAGTATGCTAACTATAATATTTGACAAATTTCAATGCACAAATTTTTATATAATACACAATTTTAAGTATTTTAAAAAAAAAAAATATTGGTACTCAATTTTCTTAAAAATAAAACACATTGCTATATTTTTGATATGGGTGCAACTTGAACGGGTTGGACAGTCAACCCTAAATATATAATCTTCAACCCTAACTTTAACACTAACCCTACATCGGGTTGAGAAACTCAACCTGAGCACTGCCCGAGTTTAAATTGGGCGGGCCCAAGTTAATGATTTTGGGCTGATTTCAGATTGAATTCGGGTTACTTTACGGGTTCAATTCGAGTTGAATTTTGGTAGAATTCAAAATAAGTTTGTTGTTCTAAATTTAATACATATATTACATAATATTGACTTAAATTAACAACCAATAACTTCAACCAAGTTTTTAACAGTGCTAATGCTAGAACAAAAATGAAAATGAACGAAAGAGACAGAGAACGATATAACAAAAATGAAAAATTAGTGATAATACTTTGAGAATCAATGCTAATAATATATATATATATATATATATATAATTTTTTTTTAATTTATCGGGTTCAGGTTGAACCCATGAACCCAAGTCTTAACCTGAGTCCAACCCAAATTGAATTCGGGTTGAGTTTTTTTTATCCAAGCCCAATCCAAAATATTAAAAATCCTTGTTCAAGCTTTAATTTTTTTGGGTTGGGCTCAGGTTGAAATCGAGTTACCCAACCCAAGTTGCAGCCCTAATTTTTGATTGATTAAAGATATAATGTAAGAATTTTAATTTTTCGGAGTGTAAATTAAAAATACAAATATCTCTGGGGGTGCAAAGTTATCATTGCCCTCCTTATGAACGATCGGGTAATATTTTATCGTCAAGTTTACTAAATTACCCTTGGCGTTGTGAACCTGCGAGTATGGGTATAGAGAGCGAAAAGGCGTATAGAAACGTGTATAAATTGGGCTTTCCAATTTCCTTACTCAGTGGACTCTGTTTGGTGACTGGTGAGTCTCTGAGAGATCTCTTTTCTCCGATAGTCGAAGGGAGAGAAAACCCTAGAAGAGCTTCCAGATGTCCGGAAATCCGGGTGGTGGCGGCGAGGAAGAGAAGAAGCCGGCGGATCAATCGGCTCACATTAACCTCAAGGTCAAGGGTCAGGTATGTACAGATTTCTATCAATATATGCATGAAATCAATTGCTGACTTTGTTGCCTGGAAATTTGATTCTAGTTCCTTTTGATCAGAAAATTTGATTCTAGATTGTTGTACTATGTTTTCGCCGTATGTTAAATCTTGTGGATGCTTTATTCTTTGCAAATACTGGTCAAGGGCATTGTGGTTAGTAGTGGAGAGAGAATTGGACGTTGATCATTGCTCGTAATAAGTATTGTTCGTAGTTGATCTAAAATAAAGTGGAGCGCGAGAGGATGCAAGTGGAGCGCGAATAGATTTACCCTCAATAGATCTTTAAAACTTGTTTTAGTTCACTTATTTTCTATGCCTGAAAGCGATCCTTAACTCTACTCGAAGGAAAAAGCCTTAATCCAAAAACTAATAAATTTTATGCTCTTATCATGACAATTACCGTTTTCTTGTAAACCTTGTCATAGACAAATTTTAATGCGTTGCATGCCTAATTGACTGTCATTTACGATCTCCTTCGTTCTGGCATAATTATCATTTTTGGGATTCTTTTCTTGGTTGTATTTGAAGTCTACAATACAATATTGTGCTACACAAGGGCCCTTGTACCTTTTTGCCTCCAAATCATTGGGCAAATGGTTTATTATTCCCCAAAATTTGTTGAACTTCTCAGTTTCCAAGATTTGACATCCAATAAATAAGCTAGCCAAAATTTGCTTCGGTGTACATTAACCCAACTTTCAGAGGAAGCTAACGTACTCATCTCAGGTGTGAAACCTATTTATTTGTAAATTGTTTCAGAACCCACAATATATGGTTTGTATATCTGGGAGGTCTAGATAGAGATTGGGAGACATCTTGTTGTCATAGTGTCGTTAAGGTATTCTGATTGTGTTTTGGAACTTAAATCACGTGCCTGCCCATGTTGGTGCAAATTATGATAGATACTTTCTTTTCAAGTCTTGGGATTTATCTTTTATTTGTTTAGATAATTATAATTTCCTGAGAATCATGTTGACATGTTTTGAGGCTTTACATTGAACCAACATCTTGGCTCTGCTTTTGCGTGAAATTGACTGCGTTCTAGATATGGGTCAGATGATAATGGCTTACTTGCATTGTGACTAATTACCATGAATGGCTTCCATCTTCATTGGCTAATGAGTAGTCAGTTGCTACTGTGTCATTTTGTTCAATAGTTTTTGTTTTTAAAACTTTTATTAGTATTTTGGAAGAGTAACATTTGGCAGCCTGAAGATAATGAAGTAGAGAAATTCAAATGGACAATGTTCGTGGAAATGTTAAAATAGATGTTCTAGATTAGGATGTGGATATAGCTAAAGAATTTCTATGATCAAAGAATCAAACAATTATTTATGGTCAACATTGACAAGGCTTCTTAACACCTAGGGAACAACTTATCTGTTAAAAGAAATGCATAGAAATATTCGTGTCGTGTGAACAATATCCAAATGGTCAGCTTTGAGAATTACATGCTGCATCTTAACTTTGTCAACTGGTTGCATGTTTTTGCTTTTCTCTGGGCTATGAACTTTTTTTTACCCATTTAGAAATTGGAAATGAACACGTTGGGATCTTCACAATGATTCCTTAAGTGGGATTTTGCTAGTGTGATGCCGACATAGGGAGAAAAGGAAAGGGCTCTTTCAGCAAGCATGTTATTGTATGTGAATAGCACCATGAGAAAATCTGCAGATTTAGGGTTGAAGGTTGACATGTTTAAACTGATTTTTACATCTCTATTCTAGATATAGTTAGGGATCCTAGACATCAAGATAAAAATAAAGCACCAGTTTTGGCATTTTGTAGCAAGCATGATGGACAATGTATTGTTTGTAACAAGATACAGTATACTATTTAATCGAATTACCCAAATGTAAACTTCCACTTTACAGTTGTGCATGGTAAAACTAATGCTTTCCACAACTTATTTAGCTGTATTCTACCCATGTTTCTGCCTGCTATGGTGAAAGCTTTTTGACCACTAAAAAGGCTAAATCACATGTTGTGTTTATTTTGATAACTTGTGCTTTTCTTAATTTAAATTTTCATTTGCCTTAAATGTTTTTTGATGGCATTGTCCTATGACCATATGGATAAGTTTTTCTGTGTGGATGGGCTCCATTAGTTTTAATTCTTTGACCATTTTTGGCCACTTCTGGTTCCCTTTTAATTGTTATAACAGTCTTTGGTTGATTCAATTCACAGTGGACTGCAAATTCTACTAAGTGATGTTCAAAAGTGCACTGAAATTTTGTTATATTTTTTGTATCTCAAAAAGATGTGCATACTGCATAAGCATGTTGTTTGTGCAAAATTTTGCTTTTTATATGAGCCTAAAAACTAGACTTCAACTTGTGCATTTAACTTCTGCCACTGCATCTCATTGGGATGTATTGCTTGTAGGATGGAAATGAGGTCTTTTTTAGGATCAAACGTAGCACCCAGATGAAAAAACTCATGAACGCTTACTGTGACCGACAGTCTGTTGATATGAACTCCATTGCTTTCTTATTTGATGGGCGCCGACTTCGAGCAGAGCAAACTCCAGATGAGGTAAAGTTTTGTTTGTTTGAATGTACTAGGGATTTTTTATTACTTTCTCCAATTGTGTAGAACTGTGTCATCAATGGATCCTTTTTGGGGGAATTTCAACTAATCTAAAAGGTACTCATACCTGTTGGCTACAGAGCAGAAGTATTATTGTTCTTATAGATTAGTATTATGTTGCAATTCTTTTTTCTAGATAGCTGTAGCATTCCCCTCGTTGCTTTTTTCTTTTATTGAACCAAATTCCACTCGTTTTTTAAAGAACCCCAGATACATGGGCAATTGAAATGTGTGTTTCTCTTGCATTAATGGCTGCTGGAAGCATAAGTTGAATGAATGTTTAAGCCAGTAGCATGTGTTGCTCATTTTACTTCATCTCAATTACATGCAAAGTTTGGTCATCATTCATACAAACAGTGCATTTTACTGGCATTGGTGGTTGAAGGAAGCATAAGTTTGAGGACTAAATAAAATTTTGGTCCCTCAAGTATGCAGCTATAGTCAATTTGGTATCTTAAATAACATTTTTTTTCAATTTAGCCCCTGATGTGCAAAATTTGTGTTTAATTGGTACAATTATTAGCATCTTTAAAATTGATAACAGAATGATTCTGTGTGCTTCTCACATGTTTGCGTCATGGTGGCAATTTGGGAAAAAAATCGTCTGCTTCTCCAGCCCCCCCACCCCTTCTCTGTGTCTCTCCCAGCCTCATCCTCCAACCTCTCTCTCTCTCTCTCTCTCTCTCTCAGAGTCGGCCTCCTCCTCTCCCACCTCACCCTTGTCTCTCTCTATCTTTATGACTCTCATTCTCTTCCCCTACCCTACCTTCCTGGTAGCCACGGTGACATGCATATTGGCCTTCAATTGGTGTTGTGGTGACTGGTAGTAGTAGGCCAATTTTTTTTTTTTTTAAAAGGTGTAGGAGGCCAAAATTTAGCTTGTCATGGTTGGTGGGGGGTTTGTGTTCGTATTGGAGTTGACAGTGGAGGGTGTTGATGGGTGATAGGGTGGTGAGTGACTGTTGGTGGCTGCAGGAAACTGGCCTTTGTTGTTGTTGGTTTTTTTTTTTTTTTTTTTGGGGGGGGGGGGGAGGGGGGGAGGGGGGGAGCAGGGGTTGTGGGATGCAAATTACACTGGCATCCATATAAGGCAATCTGATATGGTATTTGCTGATGGCTAAGCTTACTGAACAATGGAATGATGGCCTGCCTTTTGTCTTAAATGTTATGCTTTGATTTTGGGAAGCTTGGATTTTAAGACTGGTGGTGGCAATGGTGTTGTGATTTTTGGCTGCTCTTGTTGACACTAGAGGCTGCAATCAGTGGTATGGTCATTACCTTTCCTGAAAATAGAATTTCAAACATTATGCTTCTTTGATTAAAAAGAAAAATATATGATGGCTGTAAGAGATGAGGATTATTGGGAGGAAGCTGTGAGAGAGAGAGAGGGGCTGAAGAGAAGCCAGTGGGTTTACTTTTCCCAAACTGCTCGGGAAAATGTGTCATATGAGCTGCACGTGTTGATTTATGTTATCAATTTTAACCAATTTTAATAATTGGACTAATTAAACATAAGTGTTAAACCTTAGGGACTAAATGACTAAAAGTAATACTTAAATGACCAAATTGACAATTGCTGCATATTTCAGTGAACAAAATTATATTTAGACCCAAGTTTGATGTCAAGACATTCTGTGTTACCGAATTACTTTCCTTCATCACAAGCAAAGTTTGATCATCAGTCACACCTTGGATCTTTCTTACTTTTTTTGGTGGTTTTTGTGTTATCTTTTGCAAAATTTTGGGAATAGCTTGAAATGGAGGACGGTGATGAAATTGATGCAATGCTGCATCAAACTGGAGGTGGACATGTACATCTTTAAATGCAAATTGGACAGCAGCTATGTACGTATGGGAAAAGTATGGTGTGGATCTGTCGATGTTTCGAAACCTTGATGTCTATGGGGACTTATTAGTGAAGAAAAATTATAACTGATGGAAAATCCTGAAAATTTTATGCTTCCTAGTTTTTGTTTAGTTGTACTTTTTAATGGATACTGATGGTATTTGTTGCTACAATATGGACCCTTATGGAATCTAGTGGATCTCGCTCGTGCCTTTTTATTTTTTTTCCCTGGGTGTGTACTATGTTATTGCTAATCGAATGTATGCCTACCTTTGATGTCTATTGTTAGTGCTTGGTCAATGTTCTAAAAATTGTTTTTTCCTGGATCTGTATTGTAATGTAGAGGCCTCTGTTTTATGCGAAGATGGGCACAATTGAACCTGTCATGATGGTTCTACCGTAATTGTTATTTGTTTCCAAAACTGAAATTATGGGAATGGCGTTCCACTCTCTAGTGGAGGGTCACTATATCTATTTTGTGGGCCCTTAGATTATTTCACTCCACCCACTTTGCCTCATTCCCTTTTATCCCTCAAACCAAACACCCTCCAAGTGGTTGAGGTATTTAGGTCTTTAGATTATGTTATCAAATTAAACAAAAATATCGAGTAAGTGTTATAATTGGTTTGTAAATTTTATCTCCGGTTATAATTTGATTCTTTAATTTTTTATTGTCTCAATTTAATTTATCAACTATCAATTTTATTTAAATTAAGTTCTTATATTTATTTTTATGGTTAGATCAATAGAAGACTAGTCTAATATGATTTATTTTAAGCATTAAATCATATGTTTTTGATTTAATAAAATGGACGGAAGAACTTCATTAAGGCGAAATTGAAAAGACACAATTTAAGGACTAACTGCGGTGTTTACTTTTTTTCGTTAAGATAATATCATAAGTTTATGAGGACAGTATTACGCAATCTATATTGGGAAATGGGCCGCCTTGGTAATAGTAAGTGATGGCGGCCCAGACACAATGATCCAGTCCACAGTCAAAATGTTGGGCCAGGAAACTATGAAAAGGTCATAAAACAGATACTTGGTCAGTTGCCTCAAGTGGAAAAAAGCGTCGTGCGACGGAGAAGGAGCGTAGTGTGGGGTCCGTGGGACTAACTTTGTCAGGCAGTTGTGGACTAGCAACTGGACGGTTTCACCACGCGCCAACAAAGGGCACGTGCTGCCCACGTACCTCGTTTAGTGGGTGACGATTGTGGTATTTTTATTTATACAGATCACATAGAGACAGTACAAAATGAGGGTAAGTAAGAAGGAAAAATTATACTTTATCTCCCATAACTATGATTCCTATTCTCACTTCGCCTCTTCACCTATTGAATTTCTCACATTGTCCCATTAACTATTTGAATTGGTTCCACAGTACTCTAAATTAAAACACCCCTCACAATTTTTGACAGAATTGTTCACAATGGGATGACTGTTGGAAGTGAAAAATGAGAGATGTGATAATTTATAAAGGCAATGTAGGATTAATAATTAATTTTTGGCCAACAAGGAAGTTAGAGAAGGAGGTTATTGGAAGTCTTTTGAATTTTTTGACATCCCATTCCCAGAGTCAAACGGAGGCTCTAGGCGAAATACTTGAATGAGACCCTATTAATTATAATTATTATGATAATATATAATTTTTATTGCTTTTATTAAAATATGAAACTATATTTATCTAAAAATAAATTTCTGGTTATTTGAGATGCCAATTTATTAATTAAAAAATTTTCCTATTCAATTTTTTTAGCATATCATTTAGATTTATAAAATTCATTCAAAAACTAATAATCAAAAGGAAGAAGTTATTAATAAAATAAATTTAAATTTAAACAAATTTAACTTATCAAAAGACCGTCAAATTCTAAAAAAAATTAAAATACATACTTTTCAAGTTGATCAAAATAGTTAAAAATAATATACAAAAGAAACAATTACATAGTATGTTTCAAGATATGAATAGTATCATGATTAATATAATGAATCTCGTAGTAGTATAAAACTTGTAAAAATAAAATTTGAATTTATCGGACCTGCATCTATAAAAAAAATTTAGGGGAACATAAAAAAATTTGATTTAATTAAACATTGATCTAAAAAAATTATTTGAAACCTTGAAAATAAATTTAAACTTAATTAAACTTGAATCTAAAATTTTTAAAAATATTTTAAAGCTAAGTAAATCTAAACTAAAAAAAAAAATTTGAGCCCACAAAATATATGGGGCCTAAGCGACAGCTTCAATTGCCTAACCTAGGGACCGCACTGCCATTTCAAAGTAGGTGGCTTATTTTCCACCATTCTCTCCAATTTAAAAATCTATGTGAAGAAGACATCCCAAAAGCACCCAAATTAGTGGTTTTCTACCATCAATTTTTTTATGTTGGTTTTGTAAGGTGCATGCATTTTTATTTTCTTATTTTTTTATTCATTTAAATGATGGAGTCTAGATTACATTTGAGGGATAAGACTCATTACCTTCCTTTAGTAAGGTGTAATTTTTTTTTAAATTAATAAAACTATACCCTTGTACCGCCGAGATTTAACAAAAAAAAAGAGATCAATAATTATTTTTGAGATATAATGTGGGAAAAATGAAAGTTGAGGGGATAATAAGGGATAAGGTTCATAATTGACAGGGTCAAAATATAATATTCCAAATAAAAAATCCCAATAATTCGACAACGAATGGACTTGAAGGCCCCGTGCTCTGCCATGGTTGCCGATATTCTATTGAGTGTGTGTGTATGGTAAGTGAGTGGGTGTGTAATAAATAGCCCAAAAACAAGGGGAGAGAGAGAGACGGCGCTTTCTCCGTTGCACACATCTCAAGCATTACTGTAAATTCAATATTTGTGTGTATGCTTATCCGTATGTGTATGTGTTGATCTATTGCAACGGCTACATTCATGTGGTAGTGGGGCGGTGAGATTGTGATTTGTGACTATACCCTCATTTTGTGCTGCTCCTTCTTTGTATTCGGTGGGAGATATAGAGATCCTGATGGATTACGACAATGACAAGTATGCTCTGAACTACTTTTGTCTTAGTTTTGTGTTCTTGATATCTGGGACGGTTTTGGACTGCATTGTATGTGGTTTGATCGGTTAGTTCCAAAAAATACAGATTCTGAATCTGTTGAGTTTTTGGGTGATTTTTTTTCGCTCAAATGCTGAATTAGTGAGATGGGTTTACTTTATTTCATGTGTTGGTTCATGGGTTTGGCTTGATTTTAGTTCAATCGCGAGGGCAAATTCAGTGTCTGGGTGTGGATTGTGATGTATTTACTGAGTCAATGCTATTAGATTTTTGGCAGTTTTTTTATACTCTTTGTCAATGCTTTTGTTGATTTCTTTCTTATATGTGTTATCGGGGTAAGCAAACTTTGTCTGACATGGCTATTATCCTATTCTCTTCAATTCAAGTGTATACCATTTTGTTCCTGTCTTGATCCAGAACTAGATGTCTGTGGAGCACCAGTTTCAGTATCGCTCTAGGAAACACTTGGTGTCAGAATTTGTTCTAGTAACTGCATTTTGATGCTCATATTCTGATTATTATTGGATTTAAGCTTGTAGGGTTCACCCTTTTGTTGTCGTCCTAGAAATTTTCTTCACTTTTGGATGTCTGTCTGTCTAGTATTTGCAAAAAATTGTTTCTGGTTATTGATGTGATTCTTTGATGTCATGGTTTGGATTAGCATGTTACTTTGGGAATTTCATCTGCAGTCAATTGGCTTCGGCTTGAATTTTTATGTGATTTTTCCAAGTACATGTACAACTTGGAAAATGTAGATTGTGCTAAGTTCTGTTTTTTGTGTGAAATCATTACAGCGAGATGTGGGATTGGCAAGGTGAGGATTATTGTCTTCAAGACAATACCACTAACCTTGGTGAGTTTTGCTCTGCTTTTTGTTTGACTAGTAACTCAGGATCCTTGGGAGAGTTTATTCATGTTATTGGGTTGTGCTGTGGTGCACAGACATATCAAAGAGCTTGTGGAATGGAGTAAACCAGAATGAAGAAAATCTTTCTTACATGTTCGATGAGACGACTCCGATTAAGGCTTGTGGGGATTTGTCTTATCATGTTACTAGCAAAGGTACTTATTTCTTTATCCCCAAATATTCCCCATAATGTGTAGTTGTTTCTTATCTCGTAATTATGTATGCAATGTGAACGACACTAGTTGATTTGAGAGAATTAACTGCAGAAAACTCGAGCAAGGGATTGGAGCAATGCAGAGAGACTTTATCCCAAGTAAAGAGGCGCCGCATGCTACAGTTTGACCCTGAAGTTTTGGGTGTTTCCCTGTGCAATGAGGAGATCTCAGCAAATATTTTAAGATCAAAGGTTTGTGACAGGTTATATTTCTATTTGGAAACTTAGGTTCACTCATATTGCAAAGGGTAGGGAATTTTCTTATGTTAGAAAAGGTCATGTGTAGATTTAAAACTAATTTTTTTCATAAAATGCATCGTGTACCAGGGAAAAAAGTTTCTTATCCATGTCACATCTTGTGCATCTGTCCAAAATCTATAATGGGTTTCTATATGATTAATGTAGATAAATTTCCCCGAGTATTCATTCACTCAGGAGAGAGCCTTTATTTGCCAGAGTGTGGTTTCTCAACTATTTAGTATTGGGACTTAAGCTAATTAACTGCAAATTCTTTAGATATTACATCAAGACAGGTTCAAACTCTTGTACTTTTGGTGAGCAATTATGTCTGACTCTTAGTTTTTGAAATGGACTTAGGTAGAATCCTAAAGGGGTACCATTACAATGCTTAGATCCACGTTTTTATTCTTTGTTTAGGAGAGGGAGGATTCTGTTGAAGAGGCTTTCTCTGATATGTCGCAGTGGGTTCTGGATTTGCAGGTTTGTCCTACATGAAATTATGTTCTGAAATTAATAGGTAGTTTATGTCTATATAGGACCTTATGTTAGTTCTATAATGCATGTTAGAGGATACATCTGCATCTGGTTATGAGGGCCTTGATCCATCATCTGAAGGGTGGCTAGCCGATTGCTTTAATGATGCTGAGATGCACGTCAGCCCCGATGATATGTATGCCTTTTCTAACTTAAGATTTTGAATCTATTTACCATTTAAAATAGTTGTTCTAATAATAAGATACTTGGAGACAGGATCCAGTCTGGGGCATCTGATGTTCAAATTGATATCACAGGTACATCACGTCCAACATTCATTCAATTTGATGTGATGATTATTTTCTGTCTGTTTTCTTTGCTGCTGCTTATTCCTCTGCTCGACATTTCATATCTGTGTTAGTTTCTCTGTTGCAGAGTTCAGCAACGCCACACCTGAATATGAAGCTAGTATGGTTCGACAGCGCCCAGCTCGAACTCGTCGAAATGTTGTTTTCAAAGGTTATTCTTTGTCATTATCTTCTTTTTCCAACTTAAATAGTTAGGCTCATGAACAACTATAACCGGGCAGTCTTCTCTTGATAAAATAACAAAACTTCTCGTTATTGGTCACTTGGGTACAAGAAAGCACCCTTAATCCAAAAGTATTCAACTATTTGCACTACTAAATAATGTTGGTACTCAGATTTCCTTTTTCGAGGTCACAGCACTGTCAAACATAGCAATATCTTATAGTTGAGAATGCTAAACCTAACACCAACTATCTCATTCTTGTTTTATGTATGCAGGTAGGAAGTCGTACATGCAGACACCCACAAAGTTGGCTTCTTCTGTTGTCTATCCATTTGCCTTCATCAAACCATGTGGTGTCCATGGAGATTACTCTAAAGGACATAAACAAGCGAATACGTACACCTCCACCTTCAAGTTCAACAGAAACTAATGAAGATCCTTCTACTTACCCCACATCTGCTTTTTCTGGGAAGCCTGTTGTTGGTAAAACTAAAATTCGCACTGAAGGAGGAAAAGGCTGCATCACCATAATGAGAACCAAAGGTTGATTAGATAAGTGTTCTCCCAAACTCTCTTTTTGGGGCCCTTGATCCCTTACTGTCCGCGGCAAGCTTTTTTGTATATTATTCTGGGGTCACCTAGTATGGAAATCAATACGTTGGTTGCTGTGTTATTCAATTTCATGAATCTCATGACGTGTTTATGTGCCAAGTCCTTTTCTAGGTGACAGGTCCCTGTTGTTTTATACCTAATTAGAACGGATGTAGACTCTACGAGGATTTTGATGTCGTAGAAAATTCCTACCTTGTTTGTCATAACTTTGCTAATGTTTTGCCTAATCGAGTTTAATGTGAAAAGCTTGAGTTCACTTTGTTTCTTCTGATTCTGTGACTGATTAATTTTATGGGATTCAATGTTACATATGGCTTAATTTATAAACTCCTTATTCAAATTCGTTACTGCTGTAACTTGCTAATACAGAATGTCTATTTTACCAAGTATCCTATGTAATTAAAGCCAATTCTCTTTAGCTTTGGAGGG